TCTTGTGGGACACTCTTGTGGGAGACTCTTGTAGGAAACTCTTGTGGGATACTCTTGTAGGACACTCTTGTGGGACACTCTTGTAGGGCACTCTTGTGGGACACTCTTGTGGGGCACTCTTGTGGGGCACTCTTGTGGGACACTCTTGTGGGACACTCTTGTGGGACACTCTTGTAGGAAACTCTTGTGGGACACTCTTGTAGGACTCTCTTGTGGGACACTCTTATAGGACACTCTTGTGTGACACTCTTAAGGGGCACTCTTGCGAGACACTCTTGTGGGACACGGTCGCGTCGCCACACGGTCTGCCCACACACTATAGAAGCAGTCACGCGAGCGTTTCGCACGAGACTTCCTGCAAAAGTCACGCTTCGAGGCTGCAAGACGAGCGTTTCGTAGGAGACTTCCTCCAAAAGTCAAGTCTCCAAAACGAGCGTTTCGTACGAGACTTCCTCAGTCACACGTCAAGTCTCCAAAACGAGCGTTTCGTACGAGACTTCCTCAGTCACACGTCAAGTCTCCAAAACGAGCGTTTCGTGCGAGACTTCCTCAAAAAGTCACACGTCAAGTCTCCAAAACGAGCGTTTCGTACGAGACTTCCTCAAACACTCACATGTCAAAGTCTGCAAAACGAGGGTTTCGTACGAGACTTCCTCCAAAAGTCAAGCGGAAACACCCGTCGGAGCACACACATCACGCAGCCCTGCCAAGCAGTTTCGCGATTCCAGCCCCTCCAAACAACACCCGCTCACACGCCAATCCCAATGTGACAGCGACATTCACCTCTACCACAACTCACAACCTCACGATTCCCTGCGCCTGCCACGAATCTTTCCGCGTCCACCCGTCTAACTACTGCGCCTGCCACGAAATGTCACCTCCGTCTCCCTGCGCCTGCCACGAAAATCGCACTTCCATACCTCAAAACCCGCACAAAGTACTGCGCCTGCCACGAAAAGTGACAATATCATCTCACGTGAGCTTCAACAAAAGCCGCACCACACCACACGTTTGGAATGATTTCGACCCGTTCTGAGCACACTCCCATCCACCAAAATCCCCATTTCAGCTGAGACTTGTCACGAAAACAGAGCTTTGATGCCACACCCTGAAACGCAAATCCCAATGGAACGGCAACATCCAACACCCCAAAAACACGACTCTCCAAACGCTAATCCCAATGGAACTGCGCAGCAAACTGCGGATCTCACAAAACCCTGCGCCTGCGCAGTGAAATCATCCAGCACACTTCAACATCTCACATTTCCACACGATTCCTCGCTATATTTCACACGAATCTGACACGTCACGTTTTCACCCAAAACACTCTCCAAAAGCTTCCCCCAATGGCAGCGCCTTAGCGCTCTACTGCGAACGGTTGCGGACGGTTTCACAAAGAGCTGCGCCTGTCACTTCGAACCGCCTTGGCAGGGCTGCCATGTGAATTTTGATGTGCTGGTTTCATGGCAGCCGCAGCACTTTGAACACTTTCAGTTGCAGATTGTGAAATGCATGTCGTGGCAGGGGCAGCACTTTGTGAACCTCGAAGCGCAGATTTTGTGGCAGGCGCGGTGCTGGGTGAACCTCGAAGTGCAGATTTCGTGGCAGGCGCAGCGATTTTGAACCTCGAAGTGCAGGCGCAACATTTCTGTGGATCTCAAGACCTTTGAAAAGAGCTCAGCTCTCTGTCCCTGGATCTGAAGACCTCTGGACATCATCTCGGCCTTTACATCTTTCTAGACCCTCTACAAGTCTAGACCTCTCATATTTAGATTTCACAACGTGCATATATCTCAAGACTCAAGACCTCTAAACCTCTGCAAGATCTATGGGAATCTAGACCCCTACACATCTAGATCTGTCTGCTTGGAAAACTCACCAAGAAGGTCATCAATAGTCCAATTCTCGGTGTAGAAGTGGCTAGAGATACCACTGAATAGGAACCGAGCGCGCAAAGCATGCCTCAAATCCACAGCTAAGGCAGCAAGTCGTCGCTTCCAGTACGTATACACTGCTACTTTAAAAAGGTCACAGCTGAGACAATCATCATGGCAAGTTGCCTGTCTTTGAGCAAATAATTGCCTATGTGGCCATTGGGACCTGCAATGGAGGGCTGGCTTGTGTTGCAGCATTGCAAGATTGCCCTGCAAAACTGCAGGGTATGACCTTTTGAGCAGGTCAGGAACCTCTCCAGGTTACAAAGCCAAGCCAAGACACGTTCATCCTTAGTGCAAGGTTGTGCTGGCCAACCGCTTCGTTGGCCAAACCGAGAAGCCGGTTCCAAGGATCTGGGACCGGAGATCGTCCCAGTGCTTGCAGTGCCATGCCAGGTGAATGCAGGTAGGAACACACTTTTCATGACAACAAGGACAATTCTGAGGAACATCTTCCTTCTTCATCCTTTGGAGACACGCTGGACTCACCGAAGAGCCACACAAAATTGCGAAGATCCCAGATGGCTGAGGCAGCAAATTGTTGGTTTCTTTTGCCATGGCCTGGTTGAAGTGGCACTGGTCCTTTCTCTTTCCTTCATCCACTGCAAATTCAATGGCAACACTTCCTCCAGTTGACTCATGTCTGCTCCAGCAGCAACAGTGGGAGCACCTTTCTTGTGCATGGAAAATGGATAGATTCCAGTGCCACGCCGATTCAAAGGATGGACCAGGAAAAGGTCCGGTGTGCACACCACCCTGTAGGCTAGCCCATTGTCTAGCAAGACCATTTCAATCTCTTGCCTCTGGGCCATCACCCCCACTGACTCCAAATTGTCATTGACATTCTTGCAAATCTCAGCGCAACAGCAGCCATGACAGAGACCACACTGCATCCTGCAGACCATGATGTCCAATGACAAATTGCCAGAAATCACAAGGTAGGGACGTTTTAGGTGTCCTCGACCTTCGTCCCCGTGAATGTAATGGGTGATACAACGCTCTATGTCAAAGGAGGGTGGAGATAGGATGGGCGGGGTGGATGCGCTGGTACTTCTTCCAGAAGCCAGCGGCAGTTGGTTGCCACCCACCAGAGACATCATGCCCTGCCAGAAGAAGTTGCAGAAACCAGATGTCCAGGCCTTTGGATCTTTGTAGATGCAGACCTCTCCACTTCTCACCCGTGATCTCCTGAATCTCCAGACCTGTAGATCTCACAAAACGTCTGCTAAGTTGGAATGGCACCGTACTCCTCTAAAGTTTACCCTCAATTGGCTGACAAAAGGTCTGCTACCTGGAATGGCTCCTTCCTCCTCTAGATTTTATCCCCGCATGGCTCACAAAAGGTCTATGCTCCTCTAAATATTCCTCACAAAAGGTCTGCTGCCTTGGCGTAGCACCTTCCTCCCCTATGTTTTTTCCCCGGGTGGCTCGCAAAAGGTCTGCTACGTTGGAATAGGACCTTCCTTCTCCAAATTCTACCCAGGGGTTGCTCACAAAACAAAGGCCTGCTACGAAGGAATGGCTCCTTCCTCTTCTAAATGTTACCCTCTGGTAACCAAAACCTCCCACCCACGCTGCCCAACCTCGTCAGATGTCATTTCTGCGATTCACAAAGAACGCCCACTGCCGAACGAACCCATCTCAAACCAGACCTCCTCACCCATCCCCATCCAAGCCGATCCAAACAAACAGCTCCCAACCAAACCAAACCCTTAAGCTGGATCCCTTTTGATCCAAATCAACCGCTCCCAAGCCCGCCCCTTCCCAACCTCCGTCTAAGCTGCCCCTTCGCCGCCCAACCAGCATCCAACCTTAGGCGCCCCAAAAACGGTTCCCACAAATATACCAGGACCCCCAATGGGTGGTTAATGGACATCCCGAATCACAGCTTTTCGGGTGCTATAAACAGACACCCCGACAGGAGGGTCCTTATTTTCGAACATTTACAAGCCCACCCTGCCAACACCCCCTGCCAACCCCTGCCAAGCGTCGCTTAGCTGCGACCAGTGAGCCCTTCAGCCGTTTGGGATCCCCAGAATCGATCGCCTCGCGCAGCTGACGCTTCGCCTGGCCCAAGTCGCTGCCGAGCGGGAGAGTTTGGGGTTGATATGCCCAGAACTCCGGACTGACATAATATGAATGTTATCAGAAGTTATGCTATAATGGTGCCTGGTTCTTCAAAGTGGCCTTTTGATATCCCAGTTTGAGGTCACTTGGGCCTGTAAAAGGTCACTTAGGCACTCCAAAGAGGTCACTTTGAAGAACCTGGTCTAAGATGGTTTAATATACATAATTAGGACATATTAGGACTTCAGTTTGTGATCGGAGTCTCTGTCCGTGACCTCTAAACAGGGACTAGTGACTAAGTCTGTGACCTCAGCCACTGGGATCTCAATATGCCCTAGAGGTTGACCACTGAAATGTCCAGCAGAAACGTCAGTGTCATCCTTTGAAACCTCCATGTTGGTACAAGTACTATGTCTTGATCACATGATTGCTCCTTTTGACAAACGTTTGGGAAGTGGGAACATGGAACATAGGCCACTGGCGGAGAACCACAACTGACGGATCCATGGGGTCTGAGTTCATCAGTGCCGACATGGCCTGGAGCGTATGTCTGCGGAACGCCTTCGATTAGGAGAGAAAAGGTCAAGGGCGAGAAAAGTACTTCCTTGAAGACTCTAAGACCCAAAGTCATCCAGGCATGTAATTGCAGCTAGGAATACTTGTATTCACTCTTCTTTTCCAGGCTGTCCAGCCTAGGGCCGCCTGGGAAGGGAGAGACAGACCTGGACCTGGCGCGCCTACGCCAACCACTTACCGAAACGGAGGTAGGACAAGGTAGGACTGGGAGCCCGGAGCGGCAGATGTCCTAGAATTCCCAGAGAGTCCATGGGACTGGTAGCCGATCAGGTCAGGTGGTTGCCCGGTCGGTCTGGACATAGTCCGGAGCGTCTGGGCTTGTGAATCCGAGATATGTCAGATATCATCCGGGAAGCCGATATAACCCATACACTTCATGGGACTGGAATATATGCCGCCTCATTGACCCCCCCAAACCCACCACCCCTGGCCGTTGCTCGGCATATATTCCAGTCCCATGGAGGGTCTGGTTAATGGCTCAACGGTCACCGGACATGTCCCACGCGGAGAACGGACTCCCGGCCTGTTGTTGAGCGGCGCTGCGGATGATCGAAGGGGCCTGCGGACAGACCGGCAGAACGGCGGAGCGGAGGACCGAAACGGAGTCGGTGTGGTTTTCAGCTTCAAAATGACGATCCCGGCTGAGGTCACCTTGTTAAAGGCTTGTATACGACCTTTTTTAAGGCTTGTAGTACCTTGTAGTCACGGTTACAAAACTCTCCAGGATTGTCACGCAGTCTTCAGGCCCATGTCTTCCCAAAAAAAAAACATGTCTCTCTTGAGGTCTCAACCAGAAACAAGGGACGGAACTCCCCAGTCCTAGCCACTTCCAATTCCAAGAACTGTTTCTGGTTGGGATGGGGGTTCCAGGCACAAATGTTTTGGATGTGTATGGACGTGTCCTTCATGTGTCCTTCATGTATCTTAGTGATCTAACATTTTTGTTCGCCAAAGCACTTCAAAAACAACCGTGCTGATGCTCAGCGGCACATACTCAACACAACAGCTGACCATGGTCAGCAACGACAAGAATGAATCAAGCCACTGCTGCTAACCCAACAGGTTTCATCCAGTATACATCATACCTCTATAGACATCTATAGACTCTAGTATGCGTAGTTTGTATAGGAACACAGGTTGCGGAAATCTTAAGAACACTCTTCCAACCACCGCCATGTTTACCCAGTTCTCATCGTCCCACAAAGCTCACACAGGGCCGTCCCGGCCTGTGGTCCCAACAAGTGGTGTGCCATGGCCTGAGCTCGTGGGCCCAGCCCCCCAAAAAAGCAACGTGTTTGAGTGGGAGAATGTTGTGAAAACAATCCCAAACGCTGCATGTATCCCATATTCTGGGAATGTTTCCCTAGAAGGAACCTGGACAAAATAAAACACATTCCGCCAGGGGATTTAACCATGTAGAGAAAATAACATATCGTAAGCAAAACCAGGTTCCACTCACAGAGATCTGTGGGTCACTCTGAGAGGCCAGCTATATCCTCTTTGTTCTTTTCACGTCCTTTCTGGGAGCCTATAGGCTACCTACTTGGACGCCTTGCTGAGTAAAAACGATGTTTCTGTCAAACAACCATGCCTCGATGTAGCTGAAGTCCGATGGACATCGATGGAGCGTGAAGGAATGTGAAGGTGCATTGATTCACTGGTCGGGCGTCCGGTCACGTGTGCACGACCTGGGTGATGAAGGAAACATCAAACATGAGAACATGGGCTGCAAAAAGAAAAAACGACATGTATAATAAGTAACCTGACGATACCTGACGTGTATTCACATCCAACTATAATACATACGAGATCCAACGAGTACCCTCCAAAATCACTCAAAAGCAGAGCAAAACAGTCTCATCTCCCCGAAAACTGGGCAGAACCTCGCGGAATCTCTCATCCCGAGTCACATTGTCCAAGAGTTGGTTCACCATCTGGTTGTCGTGCCTGACGCCCGCCGGTCGACGACGGGTGCGGGTGCGGGACCATTATATGCGGAACGTTCTTCGTCCTGTTCATGTTTCGAAGACACGACGCAGGGGACTGCCATATACCCTAGGGATCCAAACACCTTCTCAGGTACGGTGATTGGAGACACTGTGATGTAGGTGTGGAGGGTCCAATTACAGTACCTTCTGAGGTGAAGGTACGACTGGATCCCTAGGGATATATATATATATCCCTAGCTCCATTGACCCCTCCACCACCAGCCCTCGATCGGGGAGTCAGGACTGCCAGTCCCATGTGCACCGCACACGCAAGACGACGGTGTCAGGGGTCGGGTCAAAACGGATCCCATACGGGGCAGGTCAGCGACTGGTGTAGTACCCTAGAAGTCGAAGCAACATGTGTTCAAACACCTTTACCAAACAACAATCCAAAAACCATGATCAACCATTGCTTTTGCCAGGGGACCTTTATAGATCTTTATAATTCAGCTTCTTCAATGTGATCTTTTGAAGGTTCCTAAGTGACCCAAACAGGAGGCTTAAGTGACCGAACCAACCAGGTTATCAAGTACGGTCACTTTGAAGAAATAGAAGGATACTAGTCGTTTTTAATTCGTGGGGTCCTTGGATCTACGACCTGGTCCGGGATTCCATGGGCTCAATTGGGCAAGAAAGGGGCACATGGTGGCACCCTGGCTCTCCAATCAATGTGAGTTTTCTCACCTCAGGGCACTCGTTTCAGTGGATTCACGTCTCCTGCAAATGTTGATCTTAAGATATCCCCTAGGGCTCCAGGTACCTTGTGAAAGGGTGTTTAGGGGCTGGTTTAGAGAGCCCAAATACCTTCCCAGGAGGTACGACTGGAGCCCTAGGGATTCTGGATGTTCAATGGAAACGGACATCATGACTCTACACATGTGATCCACTTGGATCCTAGTCGACCACATGCAAAACAGCTATGGCTATAGCCTATAGCTCTAATCCAATGAAACGGCAAAGACAACAACACCATTGCATGTGGGTCATGCTACTAGCATTGTTGCAACCATCTGGACCCTCCAGCAGCTGTTTGCCAGGTGCCCCAAAACCAGCTGTTGAAAATTCTAAAGCCATCTGTTCGGAAGGTGTTTTTGTTCGTTCCACATCCATCTCTCAGAATGTGGGAGGGTAGCTCACAAACTAGGCCAGCCGTGCGGCTGACCTGTCATCGAATCAAGCTCCAGCCTCGCAAGTGCCTCGTCCATCTGATTGGTCAAAAGGCTCTTGACCCTGGCGCCAAAAGGAGCGATGCAAGTAGAGTTGGGTGGAGTTGGTCTCTTGAACATGAGAAACCAAAACAGCCTTTCACGCATCACACAAAACCCAGCGCATCCCAGGCAAACCACGATGTCGCTGGGAGTCCCAGTGGTTGCCAGTTCGACAGGTCACCAGTTCGACTGGTTCCGAAGGACTCCCTGGTTCCTTACTACTCGTGGGAACTGCCTGCGGATGCACCGGGAAACATGCAAAGCCATACTCAGTGACACCGTGCATACACCGTGCATCATGCTTAAGGCTCCTTTTTCTTCCGATTGAAGCCATGGAGGGGGCGCCGCCAGAAAGCCCTAGCATGTCTCCAGGGATCCATTATACCTTGATTCATGAAAAGCCCATAGGGTCCAGGTACCTTCTTTTCGGATGGTCTTGCGGGGTCTTTCAGGACATCCGAATCGGATGGTCCTGGACCCTTAGGGAAGGTCGTTTGACCCGGAAATCCACCAAAAACACCTCAAACACCTAAAACAGTACTCAGCAGGGTTCGGTCCTAAGATGATCCAAGCTGCCGAGCGACCCATCTATGCCACATCTCACAAACACTCTATGCCACATTCTACCTACACTTGGCTGGTTTCAGGGACCCATAATATATTGCATATGTCCATATAAATAAATACATACCATACCATCTCATACATGCATGCATGCTCTTTCTTTTGGGCTTGGATGCCCCTAGAGCGCGCATCGTGCACCGACCGTGACCGAAAAAATGTCTCCCAGTTCGCCTCGAGGGCGACTCCGCCAAGGTCATGACGCCCTCCATGGCTTTGCTGGACACGTCATCCTGGAGTCTGGAGACGGTCATCCCGCTGGCCGCCTGACTCTGCGCCAGCCCACAACATACAAAAGCTATATACCAGCACCACCCAGTTCGGGTGGTTTATAGACCCCCCTGAAGAGGTATTTTCCATCTAATAACCACCCGAAGTGGGTGCTGCTGCTAGGTTCCGGTTCCCTAGACGGTCCTTTGACCTCATTCTACGAAGAGTTTCGGCGAGTCGACGAAGAGTAGGACAAACAGAGCCATCGGGACGGGGGTTTGAACAGCTCCGTGGGACGCGGAGCTGTGGTGGTGATTCTATGGTCTGAATCCCCAATTCAAGCGTTGTTTGACTGAGGACTTGTACAGTAACCCCACCAGGTAGTTCCCATTCTTTTCAAGTGGTCGAAGTGAAGGCAAATTGGAGATTGTTTTCCTTTTGCCCACCTGGTGTTGAAACCCGTGAGGCTTCTGTGGGCTGCTCAAGCTGCTTCCCTCTCACCAAACATGTGGGTCATGGTTTCTGTTTCATGTGCTGCAAACATTTGGACCTCACGTTCGACCCCACTTCCTACCCAAAGACGAAGATGGGACATGACCCGAAGAAATTTTGGTTTGCGACTTAAAACCCATTTTCCCATGCTCCCGGTAATACCTTGTACCGTCCTGTACCCTACCAGTTACGAGACATGTTAACACTACGCCCCGCCGACGCGAACCCGACCTTCGACCGAAGAAAACTCGACCCAGAATCGGTCCGTGAACTCTTCAATGCCTGTTCGCATGGCATCCACACCCAGCTGCCTGAAAACGGAGTGGTGCCATGTCTGCCATGTCCAATGTCCTTTACTTGGGTTTTGCTGTCCAACCTGGGAACAAATCCTGCATCATGAGAGGAGGATTCATCTATAATTAGGAAAACTAAAAACATCGCCTTACGATAAGCAAATCAAGGTTTACCAAGGCCGCTGCTTGGCCATCGATGATTTGGTCAATTGATGCCATCATGATCTCCACGTCCGGTGTTGAGTGCTACAAGGAGATGCGCAAAGAAAGGCAACGATGCAAAGGTATATGTATACACGTCATTTAGATAGTGCATTTCCATCCAATGGGTCCAGCTCCTGAGAGGGTGGTTGGGGTAGTTTTGTTCGGGTCTAACTGCTTTCTGAGGGGTTGGAGTCCTAGGGCTGAATCAAGCTCAAAAGAATGGCACTACCAAAAGCGCTCCCCAGGTGGTCTCGGGGCCCAGGGCTTGCTATGAGCTTGCTTTCCCACCCTAAGCACCGATTCAAACCATGAGGTAGTCAAAGCCCTAAGGATTGAACCCATGAAAATGATCCATCAAAGCAAATAAAACACTCCCAAAATTCTAACATGGACCCTGAGAATGGGACCCGGAAAGATTGACGGTTTTCCTCTACAAACCAGTGGTTTTCAGGGTCCTCTGGAGTGTCTGGGCGCTCCATTGTTGGTGGGGGGGGCCTTTGGAGACCCCTCTGCTGGGCCACTGCTCGTGCTCGGTCATTTTGGTCGCACCCCCAACTCTATGACCTCATGCCCTAAGGATCCACCGAAGCGATTCGGGGAGTTTCAGGGGTGGGTGGGGTGTTTGGAAAGGGGGTCAAAAAGGTACAGCACTGGTTCAACAGATCTACGGATCCATCCTCTTTTCGAAGGTGATGAATTCGACACTTTGATGTAGCCGCCAGCGTTAGGTCTAGCCGTACCTTCTGAGAAGGATCCGTGGATCCTATATAGGGATCAGTTCTTTTGCTTTTCCACCAACAATGAGACACATTTTGCTGGAACCTTTACTTGGATTTGCTGTCCAGGAACCGGGAAAACATCCAGCAATCACTCGATCTCTCAGCAAAACCCCAGTTTTTCCATGTTCCATGTGGATTCTATGGGAGGTTCTTCCCCGGCACCGACACCCCTTGGCGGTCCAAGTGGCAAGTCCTTCCTGAGGCCGGCGCTGACGTCGATGATGTTGAATGGTTGAGTGGTATGTGAGCTTTTAGCACCAATGGAACATAGCTGGCATGTCCAACACATACACGAAAACATGGGAACCCGAGAACCGGATGACTTTGTAAAAAGAATTATCCGGGCAAGAGACCCCAAACAGTGTGTGTGTGTGTGTGAGGTCTAGAGGTGAAGATCGTGGTGATGGTGGCGGTGGTGGTGAGTGAGAGTGAGAGTGAGAGTGAGAGAGTGAGAGAGTGAGAGAGTGAGAGTGAGCATCTGAGAGCACATCTGAGAGCACATCTGAGAGCACGCGTCAGATAGCACGGAATGCGATCTACAGTAGAGGTCTTGAGATCGAGAGCGTCGAGGTGCACAAAGTGCTGCACCTGCCATGAAATCTGCACTTCGAGGTTCAACAGTGGGGATATCAACATCTTGCTTCAACACATACACCATGCCCGAAGCCAACACAAGGAAGGCATGAGGAACGTTAATGGCATTCCCAACCTGTTTGAACGCAAGGGTCACTTCGTGCCTCTCGATCCCCACCGTCTCGGTGGCACCAAAGAGGGTCAAATCCGACGCCGTCATCATGCCAAAGCGATGCATAGATGCCTTCACTGCTCAGGGTTCGCATAGCCAACACCTGGTCGATGGTGCTTGATGCCGCGAGGCCAGCCTGTTTGGCTTTGGAGAGCATTCGAATGTCACCGTAAAGTGGTTCTTTCTGATGCAGACAGCGTCAGCTGCTCGAAGTTCAGCATCCATGAAGCCACTGTCTGTAAATCCAAGAAGGACGGAACGGGGCGCTTTGCATCGAACAAGTCCAACCTGACCCAAGTACCTAACCACCTCGTGCGGACTGTGTGGGTGTGGACCATGGTATCGGACAACACTGGACCAAAGGCGTCGAAGTCTAAGCCTAAAAAGATCTAAAAAGTAACTCATTGAGGTCAGTGAGAACTTTAAAAACTTTAAAATGCGGATGGTCTTCCAATTCGGCGGCACACTCGAAGGCCAGCAAAATCGGGAATGCGGTGCCGCACATCATGATGGCATCCACAAAGGCGTACCCGGCGTACCCGAATGAAAGGCCACGCTGGGACAGCTACTCCGAGGTGGTGGCTCAAGCTTGAGCGATCCGCCTCGCTGAACCAGAGTTGGGAGAAAGCATGCCGCAAGCGAAAGCAACACCAACCATCCACTCATGGTGTTGAAGCACCGCCATTTCCTTGCAGAACCCAAAGCAGAAAATCAAGCATGGTACCTTGGCGAGACGGAAAGACCAGCTTCAGCTTGAGCAGCTAAATCGGCTTTTCCTGTTCGATCACTCGTGAGAAAACCCATCCATTCCCCCCCAAAGGTGGTTCCCCACTTTTCCTGGTTAGGCCCAGAAACCGCGCCCCATTTTTCTGCATCCCAAGTCTCGCTCCTTTACTTGCACCGCTGCGCCTCGGATGCTAACAGAATCCAAAATACCTCCCAACTTGGAGAGATCCCACAGAATGCTATGGTGGATAATACCCGATGGCTCCCACTACAGTACCTCCCCTGAGGAGATGGTTAGGGTGGGTGCCAGGAGGGTCTAACCACCTTCTGAGGATTTCGATGGAGCCCTAGGGATATATATAATAGTCAAATTTGTGCTTAGTAAGTGCCTTCAACCAAAGCATGAAAGCGTGGAAAAAACATCACTGACATTTGGTGGGAAATCGGGCATCCCAAAACGCAAGCAAAGTGACTGATGGAATCAGGATCATGGAAAGATTCTGCATGCCAGCTTCTTAATATCTTGATAAAAATCTGAGCCAAGTGGTAGGTAGGGTTTCCAAACAAAATAGTTCTAACATGTTCCAACCAAAGCCTCACTGAGCAACACCATCCATTGCCAATAATATCCCCATCATGGCAGTTCTTTGCCAATCCCCAAGACAGCATGCCCAATGCAGTGAAGGAGCACATCCTTCCTTAGTTGGCAAAATGGCAACAATCCGTTGGAAGAGATTCTTAAAGAGCTGGGACACCTATATATAGCAACTTTGGGTCCAGGGTTGCCTCTACTAGGCAAAGACCGCGGCACAGACTCCGAAAAGAACAACACTGTCAGAGCATGTGGCAAGAGGTTGAGATCCCTCATATATCGCTTATACACCCATCGCTAAACCGAAAAGCAAGACCCTGAAAAATCCACTGCCACCTTCTCAGCACGACGGGGCCCTCGTTGCTATAAAGGTAGCGAACACATCATCATACCTCAAGGGACAGTGGATCCATGTTTGCTCGACTTATATGACCGCACAGCCACCTGTTGAGTGGATCGAAGGCCAGGATCACCAGCGACAAAGATGAAACCCCATCTTCGAATCAAACAGATGGCTCAGGATTAGACCCTTAGCTTGGATACTGTTGATATTTAGCACTCATTTTGGGGTAAGTATTGGAGGGTCATCCAGAGGTGTTTGTCTTGATATTTCTGGATCCGAGTCACCTGTTTTTTTCCCATAGACCCACGTGAATCGAATACTACGCTGTGTTAGGCAGAGCAGAGTAGCAAAGCATGCAGCCGTTGTTTCGAGTGTCTCCTTGCCGTCCTTTGCACGCAAAAACGTTTTCGTTTCTGTGTTCGACGTGATGGTCCCAAAGCCTACTTGTTTCGCGTCATGACTGTCCAAAACCCTACCATGTTTTTCCAGCCTTTGGTGGGGGGAAGACCACGTACACTCCCAGAAAAAATGATGGAAGTGGATGTTACATGATGTTACGGTCCCTGGAATAAAGATCATCTACTTCTACAAAACTGGAGAACTCCACTTCCATGTATACCTCCACTTCCAAGGTCATGTCTTTCAAAGCACGACTTCGATGCGTTTCCACCACCACTTCCACTCAGTAGACCGCTTCAAAAAACAACACTTCTAATTATTTAATCTGAGCGTCACGAGTCCTTCGATGGCTCGACTCACATAGCCAAACATGGCGAGCTCCCGGCGACAGCGTGGCAAGGTGAGACAGGACGAGGCGAGGCGGCTGACGAAGAGGATGGGACGAAGTTCGTGTTTCTTTTTCTGGTTGATGGAGTTCTGTTTGGAGTTGCTGTCCACAAAAACCAGGACCAACTAATTAATATATATATATATAAATACATGCAACGGGATGGACATAAGCAAAACCATATGTGTTTTTTCTTTTTTATCAGCTGGCAGGGTGATCACAGTTGGTGGTTTTATGTCGAAAGGCGCGACCTTGACAGTCATGCAACAGCTGTGGCCCTTGTGGTAGATCCTGGAAGCATAGACAGCATATGACAGCATGGACCCTATCAATCCCCGCTGCAGGGGCAAAAGCAGGACCCCGCCAAAAACGGTCAGTGAAAAAACAGGTTGGGTATGGTTGGGCTCTTCATCCGTAAGCGAGAAAAACACGATAGTTTTTTTGTTTGCTTTCCCAAAGCTTCATCCTCTACCTTGACTCGGCTGCACTCGTGCGACCCAATTCGAGTCTTGTTTCACAAAAATACATATGTTTAAAAACCCTTGTGCACCACCTCCTACTAGGACCAAAAGGTAGTGTAACTGCTTTTTAGACTTGCAGGATGTGTGTAAGGTTTGGGCAGCGGACGTTGTTGCAGCATAGCAAGTTCAAAGCTCTCTGTCAGGCTCACATGAGCAGACTGCAAGCCAATGCAAGCGTTTCATCGCACACCCTATCAAAGCTTCAACAGGATTGACTGGATGTGTCCGCTCACAAAAGCTCCATCTAATTCTCACGACATCCTGGCATCAGTGTGTCTATCAATATCATAGAGCTCAAAAGAACAATGGGATAGTTGCAAACATGGTGTTTTCGAATCATTTGAAACATGTACGACATGTCATTTCACCCGCAGATCGATGCCCAAACACATACAGAAACGAAGGAAACCCTTCGGTTTTCCGCACACCGACCTTAGACTGACCCTGGGACTGGAAGAGTTCTTGACCCCATGATGAACAGCATGACCAGTCCCAAATAACGTACATTCCAGTCCCAGGTGGATGGTTAGGTCAAACGGTCAAACCATGTATCGAAGAACGTGGTCAAACCGGCGGAACGCCACCGCCGAGCCCTCAGCCTCCACTTCTATAGGTGGAAGTGGTTGAAATCCCGTTCGGAACGTTGAACAGGACAGTTGGTCGTCCGTAACCATGCGATGTGTTTGCTTTCGATGACGCGTTACGTGGCCGGCCATGCCCCTGCCCCACATTCTCCGCCTCCGTAGCACCTGGCAGAGCTGTTGCGAAATCACCCACGTCAGCAGTAAGATGAACTCGTTTCCTCCTTTCCTCTTGGGTGGACGAGCTTTCGGGACTGATGGTTTTCCTTCTTCGGTTGCTAGAGAGAACCGGCAGGTGGCCACTCTTCCACGGTTGCAGGTTGCAGGTTTCAGCTGGAAAGGCCTATGCCTGAGACTCTCTATGTAAGGCCCATAGGGTCCAGGTACCTCCTGAGGATGGTCTTGGAGGTGAAAGTACTTCCGGAGAATGGTCTTGGGGGGTCAAAGGACATCCGATTCGGATGGTCCTGGACCCTTAGGGAGGTTCATGAGGCTTCAGGGCCACGTCAGAGATCGTCAGAGGAACAATGCTCAAGACTTCATGGACGAACTGGCAGCTCAAAGATTCTGACTGACTTAGCATGAGAGAGTGTGGGTATTTGAGGTGGGAATTGGTGCCTTGTTTTGTGAAAAGGAATCATGAGCCGCATGAGCCGCAGGAGTCGCCTTTTTGCCATGGAAAACTGGATGAGACTTCCAAAAGGTGTTCTATAAGCCTTAAGGCTCCACTACCACCCTCTTTTCGGTCCGGGCTTATGTGTTTCCTCCACTGAGACATGAGACGGTGCCATGGGTCGGGTCCCGTCGTACGAAAACGGATCCCCTAGGGCCCTAGGGTTCTGCATGAGACTTCCAAGAGATGTTTTATATAGGGTTCCAATCCGTGAAGAGGTGTTTTATGGCTGCCGCTCCTGCTGATGCACCCCCCCAAAAAACGAAGAATCGAAACGAGAGCCGAAGACTTGAAGCAGTCGAAGTGAAATATGTTTTACGTCAAGGTACCAGCAGTCACAAGACAGGGTGCCCGACAGTCACATCCACGGCCCCTGGATGGGACGAGCCACACCACCCCGAGCTATGCGACTCCTGGTACTGGTGGTTTCATTGAAACAGAACGAAACTGGTCAACATCACCACCACCGCTGCCCCCGGACCCCAACCATGCTGATCTCCATCCCTGACTGTCTCGCGCCTTCCCCCCAAGCCCGCCCAACGACACATCGTGCAACTCCGTGGAACACGTGGAACCGCACTCCGCGCGCGGCGAACGGGCGAAGGCACCTTTTTGGTCGGCGTCTTGCCGCGAGGAGATGTCGGGAGAGGGATCCACTTGAAGCAATGCCAGGAGCGCATGGGGGCCCTTCAGTTCAAGAGGCGGTATGGTATATGGTGTATACTGTAGACTAGACTACATGCGTTTCTCCCAGGAACCAAAACATGAAGTCTGCAAACGAGCCATGCTTTGTGGTCTAATACCTACGAACACCCCCCAAAGTTAATTATACATAGCATTCTAGATAGACGCTTGAGAATGTTTCAGGTTCATGCCAGAAAAAAGAATTGGGCTGCTGCGCTCGTAAAAGCTTTGGTGGGAGCACACTTAACACCTCAAACGCATCTGCACCTGTCTTAATCGGCCATATTTTCTCCAAGAAAGGTGTTGTTCAGTGTCCAAATGGTTGGTTCCAAGGCCTACTAAGCAATCGACCTGCATATCGCTTCTCTTTGGCTTCTACGTGCCAAGTGGTCACAACGAAGGAGCATTTGGCCAAAGCCACATGGATCTGGGTGTCGCACTTCATTCGGCCGCACGGACGAAGAACAAACGCGTGTGACGAACAGCAAACCATTCCTGGCTCATGGCACCAGCGCATCTCGACTATAACTAGAGGGCTGTCACAGAAACCTTGTCAACTTGTCAACATATTCCAGGACCTTCAAAGTGACCGGGATGAGGTCACCGGGATGAGGTCACTTATAAAGGTCACTGGATGAGACTCCAAAGAGGTCACGAAATCTTCAGGTCCTGGATAGGCTTGGCTGGTGTGCTTGGTTTTGGCTCTGAGAGTGCAACTTCAGAGTTTGTGCGCACATACTTTCCACCTGATAGAGGTGGGTGAAAACCTGGTCAACATGCATGACTAGGCAAGATTCGGCCCTGATTGTTGATTCAGCCTTCTTCAAAACATGTCAATCTCCATCAGTTGGAAGAAGATGTGTATTCCAAACTAAGGATCCCTAGGCCCTGGGTAAATGTCACAACTAGATTAGTTAAACACAGTTGGAGGGTAATGCTTCCCCATCACTACCCCGTCTAGGTCATCCACCTATAGTATAAGACCAATTTGAGCTGACCAGTGGAGGATGTGTTGAGATTTGTGCGGCCGGTCCATCTTTTGGTGAGACCTGGAACACCCAGATTTCTGGCTGAAGCCCGTCAGGAAGGGCGCATGTCGGAGAAAAAGGATTGCACTTTTCTCCAAATCAACGTGGAATATCATGGAATATCATGGAATATAGGCCCCCCTCAAAGACCGACCGAGACCTATCTTCAACAAACAGGTGGTTTTCATTCCACCTCCATGTTCATCTCGGCCACCAGAACACGCGGTCGAGTCTCCGAATCGAAGACACCACACCGAACCATCCTCGGGTGGGCGGCTCCTCCCCCCACTGGCACCCAACCACCGAACCGAGTTTCGGAGGTAGCCCATAAGCCCCTAGGGGGCAATACAAAGCATCAAGAACCTGGCTTTCCCTAGCAAAAAACATGGCTGTTGTATGTGAAAACCTGTATGTTTCATTAGTTTTCATGGTTTTGAGGGCCACTGGCCAAAGGAGAAAATATGGGAAAACTCTTACGTCATGATCAAATCCTGGGAAACATGAGGTAGAACGAGCTGAAGGGTCCACGACCCGACTGGCAACAGGAACTGGCAAAGCATCTGGCACATCCCAAAGCTGTAAGTTGACAGTTGCGACATGCCGCCTTTCCAGCAAGAGAAATTTCAGACGCACACACTATATGTGCGGGCGAGGCAGGAGCATCTTGCAAGACCTTAGCAAGACACGGAATGATGGAATACCTTTCACAAAGGGACTATCTTCTAAGGACTTGCAACATCTTGCAATACTGTTGGTACTGAGACAATGTACAATGTAGGAACACCCTCAGGTTCACGACAAACACACCACCTGGTTCCAAATGAATCTTGATATACCGACGGGATTTTCTTGATGGATTTCAGGTGTCTTTCGGAAACTCTTGGAGTGTGCAAGGGTGGGTCCATCCCTACCATTGGCTGAAGAAAGATTGAAACCCCTGTGACCGTCCACCTGTTGATTCGGCTAGGCGGTGGGTTTTGTCTTATAAATTACAGAAAATATATTCAACCACAATCACTGACTGCCCTTCCATGTGAGGGCTCGCACTCTCCTTTGGACCCTGGCGGTGTCAATCGTGATTTATTGGACGCCGAAGGCGTGACATATGGTACAGGCTGGAATGAAAGCCAACTGCTCAAAAACATTAGCGCCACCAAAGAGAGGCCTTCCGAACAAGCCAAAGCGCTCCACATGCTCAACGTGCCTCACCAAAGGCCTCGACTAAGAGAAAGTGCTCCCCCTTTGTAAAGTGTAGCCTCACCAAAGGCCTTGACAAAGAAGAAGCGCTCCGCATTCTCAAAGTGAAAACAAGGTAAACAAAGGCCTCGACAAAAAAGAAGCGCTCCGCATGCTCAAAGTGAAACCTTGCTATGCTATGCCA